AATTTATATAATTATAAACATTTGTCTTTTATCACTTGTATAGTTAGTAATAAAATTAAAAAACGATAATATATTGTCAAAATAAGCAATCACCTTCTAAATTATGATTTATGGTTGAAACAATTCCATGTAATAATAACTTGTTGTTCTGAAAAGAAAAAAAAGTAATTACTAATAGAATTTGATAATAAAGTTTGTATATAAAAATTTTCATTTATCTCAGTAGAAGCGTATACGTTGGATTATTTAAAGCCTCGTCATTATGTTCAGCCCCGAAAGAAAATCATCATATTTATAAACTATTTTATTATTTTAAATAAATTATACAAATAAAAGAATTTGTGAATTATATATTTATAGCTTTAATTACCTTCGATATGGAAAATCCAAAATAAAATCTTGCTAATTAAGTGTTTAATTTTTGCTTTATATCTTATTAACATAGGAATTATCTAGCATGAAAATATTTGAAGTGTTTCTTAACGCTTCTCTCTATAAAACATCAACCTTCTGGTTTAGTATGTTCCATTTATTTTATTAATTTTTAATTTCCAATTATTCTTCCAGATATCTTTCCAATCTATTCTACAAATGAAAAATATTTTGTCGATATTATATATAAATATTAAATGCAAATTTTGAAATTAATACATTCAGAACATTTTGAGACACATCAAATTTTTAATTTCAAATATTTAATTTTAACTTCACAAAGAAAAACGGAAAAAAAAGAAAAGAAAAACTAAAACAAACCTTATAACGAAGTGTCATAATTTAAAAATTCCTTTATATGCATGCTCTTCGTTTGTATCCTGAATGCACACAAGATGGTAAAACAGATGTAATTATAAATCTGTAATAAAGACTTTATAAGAAAAAATGACTAATATTTCTATACTGATTTAAAATTTTGTATAGTTAATGAAATTATGGTTATTGATTTAGAATGAATAATCGCTTAAAATATGGTAATTTTTATGAAAATTTACCTTTGGATTTCTCAAATATAATTTATTCACATCCTTAGCCAGCAACTGTTATGAGCACCTGTAAACATAAAAACAAATATAAATATTTTACATAAAAATAGTAAATTATATCTGCCAAATAAAATCAATAATCAATATCAGAAATTTTTCAGAATTTTAAATTTCAAGTATTTTGTCGTTAAGTGTAAAAACATAGGCACCTCACTTATGTTATACTGAGCCACTTTCTACATTTTCGATGTTTCAAATTCTGTACAAGTCCATATTACATACATGTGTGTGTGTGCGCGCAAATACATAATATACAGGAATAACTACTTATAGTTCAGTTTCTATTTCTGACTATTTCGATATCTTAAAAAAATACATTAAAAATATTATACCTTTATGTAATTATTATATATATAGTTTACTGAATGTAAGACACGTATATATTCCCAAATAAACAAATGAGATAAAATTAACATATTTTAAAGTGTTCAGAAATAGTATAAAATTACTGTATTGCATGAAAATTTATTATGTAGAGTATTTCCAGCCTATAAAATTTCAAATATTAAAATATTAAAATATTCATGTTTTTATCATAACATTTTATAGTAGTTTGCTAAGTAAATTGTCATATATAAAGCTGAGTCGATAAAGTGACCCATATATATTTACCACCCAAGAACCAAGCAGAATAGCCGATATAATCTTTTAGTTTTGTTGTTCAAATAGCAATTATATCACAGCCTAGATTTCAATAATGAACCCAGACAACCTTTATTAAAAAGTTGGTAAACAAGTATATTTTGGTTGTCATAGGTAAAAATATGGTCTAGGCTGGTAAATTTTGTACACTATATTAGGTTCTTCTAAAATTATGGAATAATATGATTAAGTTTCCATAATTACGTAGAATTATCCTGGTTGGACGTAAATCAACATTATGTGCGAATATATGTAGTTAATAAAAAAGCCATTTCACATCTTATTTGACTGCTAATTTTGAAGCCTCAATATTACGAGTTTCACTTTCTTGGTAAAGATTACAAATTAAAATATTATTGATTCAAGAATTCAAAACTATAAGATTTTTAATAACTAAATGATTTTTACTAATAGAAAAACAGATTAAAATTGATTATGTCATTCATATTTTTTTATAATCTTTACCATATATTTATATAAATTTCCCACCCGAAGATTAAAATAGAATAACGCATAATAACAGTTTTACAAAATCTACTCACCTCATACCAGTAGATTCACTAGTAGTTTCAAGTAAGTAAGCCTATCTTGTGATTGCAGTTTCTCCTCCGTTAAGAGATTCTTGATTAATAACGGTCAGTTTATGTTATTCATTATTTCGCAATTTTAAACAATTACGTTCATTTCAATATAGTTGTATTCTTCGACAAAAAAGATGGATAATTGATTGAAAGAAATATATATGTGTATAACACATCCACAATATCCTTCTTATAAGTCAGTTTGATGATATGTATAAAGTAGTAAAGATTCTTGTTTATAATAACCCTTATGTACACACATTTCATGTATCATGTACAAATTTTGTAATGTAGGTGTGCAGACTGTATTCACTGAATAGATTTGTTTTAGTAAATCCCATTATAAGGATTAATTTGCATTCAGTAAATATACAAAATATCTATCTAAAAGTACCTAATAGAGAAATATAATTTAAAATACGTATCGCACTGTTTATAATATAGTAATTATAATAAGTATCTATATTACGAGAACACATTTGTAATTAGTGAATTCCTAAACTATTGGGAACTTTTTAATGAAGATTCGTATTTAATTCACAAATCGAAAAGGCAGTCAAACCATTAATCACAAGATTAAGATGAAAGAAATAAAGTATGATTGAAGAGTAATATGTAACTATTTTCCTGATTCATGTTACATTTGTAATTAAATAGAATTTTTGAAAGAAAAGAAAAATGCTACTGAACATATAAAATTAATACAAAAAATACAAAATACTACTATAAAAAAAATTTATATGAAATTCATTATATAAATGCATACAAATAATATAAATTACATAATGTGTAATGTGCATTATGTCGAAGTTTTCCTGTAAGAAACATGTAATGATACTTGAAAATAAATTTGTAATAAAAATAAAAGAGATATACATTTATATTACTTTCACTACAATTTGTAAAATTTTCTTTTATAACAAGCTATGTTCATAAGCTTTTTATATAGTAAAGTCTACTTTTTTTTTATAGATATATTAATAAATGCAATTTACCTAAAATTAATTCTCCCGAGATTATTACAAAATTCACATATAAAAAGTGACTATTTTATAATAAGATCATATAAAATAATATATAACAATATTATTATCATATTCTGTTTTAATTATGATGCATCTATATTCTTTTAGAATATTTGAAATTTACATTTAAGTTACACAAATTCAACAAATATGTTAATATCAAAATACTTCCATCATTTAATGTATACCAATAATAAGTACTTGAACTATTAATATTTCGTTAATATACCTGTATGAGAAAAAAATTTACAATATACTTGTAATTAAATATTACATTGTTATAAAAACTTGTTTACCAAATATTGTGTATGTATCAATCAATAATTTTCTGTAAATTTTATAGCAATATAAATCTTAAGCTATAGAATAAAGCAATGCAAAATATATTATAAAAGAGTGATTATGTAACACATGATCATAAATTCTTTGACAATGTTATTAAAAACTGCAGAGAAAGTTATATGCTCCTATGATATATTACGCACGCCCAGAAATCAAGTTTATAATTAATATTCACCGAGTATAATTTATATTAAAAGCAATAAAAAAAACGTAGCCAATTTTCACATTTCCTTCAAATACATATAATATTCGCGAAATTCCATAATTGAAAAGATTAATAATTAAATAAATAGTCCCTACATGTATGCATATATGTAGACCTTTATTCATCAAATTACTTTTTGTTAATTAAGTTCCTTCACAAAGTTTGAGTAGCACAATCGCAGATTACTCTGCTAATATACGTCTTATTCTAACATAATTACTTTTATAAAGCTTTCAAGTAATGCAGATACTGCATGTACTTTCTCACGTGGTGACACTCACGCCATGAGTAACTTAAGAACACGTACATACGAATATGGATAATGTACTAGATAAACTATCTTTGATATCGACGTGTACACGTCTATGTAATTTTACGTCTGATTAGAAAGGTAAATTCCCAAATGACTGATATTGGTTTCAGTCTGTATTAAACACACTTCTTCACTTACAAACTAATTTAATATTCTTTTGTAATCATGAGGTATAAAGCTAAAGATATGATCAGAATATATACTTTCACCTTGGAAAACTACCGGTTCAAATGAAATGATTAACTATGAATAGTATAGTATGACAATACAATAGTAACAAAAATTAATATACTACATTGTTTTTAGTATTTACATGTTATTTCATAAAGAAAACTCCCACGAGATTGTATTATTTGCAAGTGCTAATTGGCAATGAATATACTTTTTCTACATTACAGTATGATAGCATAACAAAAGTCTATAAAAGTGACACTGAAAACTTGAAAATTTTCTTTCTGTATGCACTTCCTTTTCTTAGAGAATAGTCATTAAGAAATTAAAGAAACATACAGTTTACATATTTCTTTATGTTTAATTGATTATGTTAATAATTAACATTTTAATGATACTTTAATTTTTGGTTTTCTGATGCCTTAAAAAATTGTCAATCAATATCTACAAAATTTGTCAATATGTCAAACTGATGAGTATTATTAAATCCTTTTAGAGAAATGTCTTTTGCATTTAACGTACATTTATAATTTCATATTCATTAGACGTTTTGTTAACTTAAAAACTGTATAAAATACAGCAGTCTCTTATTAGCAAAATGATTTGGTATGAAGGCATGAAATCAGATCCAATAAGAAAGATATAAAATCACTCTCTCTTTCTCTCTCTCTTTCAGTCACTACATATATTCACTCCTTTTCATTTCTGTCTAATCATTCTTGCCAATATTGTTTCCCTACGATATAAAATGTGAAAGATGATCGATAGCGAAAGTTGGAAAAAAATGACTGAAGAATACAATGCGAACTATCGGAAAAATATTTCTTCTCAATCGATTGAAAAAAAAGTTATTTTAATACTGCGTTGTATTTAATAGCGTCTTCTTTTATTAGGATAATCGTCCTGACGATTTCGATCACTTCCACCTTGCCAACGCCCACTACCACCACTACCTCCACGACCACCGCCCATATTACCCATATCAACCCTCATATCCATCAAATCCATTATTTGACCACGATCATCATTATAACCCCCTCGATTACCACGATCCATACTGTTATAAGCATCCATGAAAGACTTTGGATCCTAATCATCATTGCAGAGAAAGTTGAATTTGATTATTACGCGTAGAGTAAAAATAAAACGGTATTTTCGAGTTAAAGTAATCGAGAATTATATGCCGATAATATATCATCGAAGTGAATGCCAACAATTTTCGTTTATATGGTGAATCACGGTGTTTTGTAGTCGATTTTGGATGTACCATAAATACATTTCACGGTTCAGGGCGACCATCCATGTTTGACAGCAGCACAGGTCATCGTCAATTTTCGTCAAATCACATAGAAAAGAAAGGGGAAAACACAATGTTAGATGTTGTTTGCACGTACAACATTAGTAGAATGGAATGCGTGAAAAATACACGCGCTAAAACAAATGATATATACGAATAATGTCATACTGCTTCGGAATATGCCGTTTTCTTGACATCAATTATCCTTATTGAACCAAGCAAATGCCCAACATACAATCGAAAATAGTCACCGTTGAGGTCAGTACATTTGGTGAAATAGTTTGGAATACCCTATACGTATTTTTTATATGCAATATTTTGCATATAGTCTATAGTATTTAAGTTCGTTTACATTTTTATTCGTCATATTTTGATGTTGAATTAGAATCATAAAATTCTATGTTTAGTACTACCTGCAGAAGATAGAAGATAGATTTATGAGTAGATTCCCTACAGAAGTAGTGCAAATAAAAAATATATAACATTATTAGCCAACACCTCAAGAAAGATTTCTCTAAAATTATTTTAGGTTTTAATTTATATAGGAGATATCAAATGTCATAGTGGTTAAATAGTGTTAAATATACGACAAATTTTTTATATAAAATATTAAGCATTTGTAGAAGTAATTCAAGTGCTTCTTAACTACATACGAAATGCACGTGATTTAAACGCCTAAAACATATTTATACAATTTTTTTGAAATATAAGAAATGCCTCGTCATGTTAGTTACAATAGTGTTTTTAGTGGTAATGTGACAAAAATTACAATTAATTTCAGCATTCTGAAGTTTAAATATTGGTATAAATCGCGAAGAGACGTGATCAAGATCTCTAAGCAAACTTTATACAATATCTATACCACAGAAAAGTATGTATGTAATAAACATTTTAAAACATGTATTGTAGAATAATACATGTATCAACATTTGTGATGATCAATATAATATTAAAAACCCAAAACATATTCCCTTGAATAAATTATATACAATAAAAATCTTTTTAAGCTTAGTTGCTTAATGTAAGTGTTGCTGTACCCAGAAACTGTATTCAAGTTACAGTTTGTCTTTAATTACTGTGTCTACATTTTGACTAAATTTAGTAAAAATAGTTTCTGAATACAGCTGACTATATTGTATTAACATTTAATGTAGTTGGGCATTTGTTGGTTAATAAATATCAAATTATTACTATGGAACTATTCAGTAAAAAGCAAGTTCTATAAATGAGCAAATATTGATGTTAAAATTTTTGCATGAATAAATACAATATTAGTTCCATAGTATATAAAATACCTAATTCTTAATATAACTAGATAAAATAGAACACAGGTCTCCTGTCTGCAAGCATATGGAGAGACCAATGTGGCACAAAGTATTAATTTAGTTTTTGTTTTAATTTTAATGATTATTAAAGAGCATTCGTAGAATATTTAGAAATTACGAAGTTTTGTTTATGAAGATTATATTCAAATTGAATAAGAAGTTCTTCATATTTTGTTGTACACTGTAAAAATTTTAAAAATTTGCTTTTATATTTCTACAATCACGTACCCAAAGTATATTCTTAGAAAACAGGAAAAAATAATTCCATTAGCCATAGTTATAAAAATACTGTTAACCCAAAATTGAAACCCTAGATAAAATTGAGGATACTCAGAAATTAGTCATGGTGTAGACAGAAATGGACGAATATTATGTAGTTGCTGAGTTGTACTGAAGTTAATGTACATTAGCGCACTGAAGTTGCAGTACATTAAAAAAAATGAAGAGAACTCATCTAATGAAATGTTAACCTGCCTATACAATCAAGAAGAATTGTTTAATACTTCCGTAAAATTTTATATATTTGTCGTTTAAACATTTAATTAGTTCCAGAAGGAATATTATTAAATACTGCCACGATGAAGTCTTTCAACAAGCAATAGATACCTCAAATTATTACTTCAAGCATAATTTTTGACAAGGAACCGAATCGATTTCGAGAAGAATATGTAAATAATATGACATATTAGTGGTTATTTATAGTAGATAATAATAGAAAATATGCCGTGTATGTTTATAATTAAAGTAACAAAATTTTAATATAGATTGTAGTAATGTATCATGTGAACGTATATAAAAGGTTCACTATAAAAGATATGATAAATATTTTTCCTATTTAGATCATAAAATACTTCAGTTTTATGAAGGTAGACTAAATTAATTTAAAATCAGTCTTCGTTTAACGCTATAAGAAATTGTTCCCTATCAAGTAAAAAATTTTAATGCCCATTGACACCTCCACATGTTATAGCCAATTAATTTAAGTTATTAATATAAAATATATACATGACAATAAATTGATTATAATATATTTGGCATTGTTGCAGACATTAGAACCCTGCTATTTTGGAATGCATGCTTCATGGGAATATTCATAAAGTCCTTCCTTTTACTTTTTAGGCAAAAGTGTTCACTAAAATACTGGCTCTTTTTTGTCATGCAAGAACGCAGTTCAATTTCTCTAACAAAAAATTTCCGCATATAGGTATAACAATTTGTTTTTCGTAATACCATCAAGTAGAAATATATATAAATGAAAAATCAAACAAATTGTTTGAGAAAAACAAATAATTACTTTATCAAAAATATATATATAAAATGATAATTTAATGAGATACATTACCACTGGCATGCTGCTCCCACCTGTAATGAAGTACAATTTACAATTAGAAATTATTTTTAAAAAATGAGTATTTAAAATTTACATTAATAATATTGTGAACTTATAAATTATAATTGGTATTCAACAAAACACAAAATTGTTATAAAATATTTATGTCTGTGTTGAAAACTTGATGAACTTTAAAACATTTAATAAACAAATATGTATCACGCTGAAAATATATTAAAATTTGCAAAAAAGGTACATTTGTATGAGTATTAATAGAATTATAATATTCAATATTTATATAATCGAAAATTTTAGTATTTAAAACTTACCGTCAGGTTGATATCCATCGCGGTCACTGTTACTAACGGAATCATAATTCTTTCCTCCCATTCCGCCTCCTCCACCACCTCTCATTGCTTGCTCCTTAAATATAAAGGGAACATAACCCTAAGCATTAGTAAGAAATAAGAATTAACTTACAATTAAAAATCATATATAATGACAATGTAATATGCTCCAAATATTTCTCCGCGATTATAAATATTATAATGAAAGAAAATAAATACTTTTTACATACTTTCTACATATTTCAAATATTTAATATTTGTCTCCGCAGTATAAAGAAGTTGAAGTTTTAACATATTGTTACAGAAATTTTTTCTAATTTTAAAATTCATTTTAATTGAAACCTAATTACCTGCATGAACAAATTATTTTCTTGTTGACGTCTGTGTAGTTCCTCCTCTTGTCTTCTTATACGCATTGCCATTTCTTCTTGCTGTCTCCTCCGTAACTCTTCTTCACGTGTCCTTTGTTCTTCAGCCTGTCTTTCTTTCATTTCCCATTCCCTCTTTTGCCTCTCCCGATCAGCTTCGCGCATGCGCAGTTCTATAATTAAACAAGATTTTTTTGTCAGAATACATTATTTGTGTTGCAAGTATTGTTGGAATGGTGAACGTGGCGTGATTAGGGAATAAGGTCATCGCCTGTGACAGTACCCTTTGTGTAGGTACGACTGTAGAGCGAATGGGAACGCTTGGGCCGTTCCGCGAAAATAGAGGATAATGAACAGCAGTCTCGGGTTTGGGTCGAGCGTTCAGAGTATTATCTGGAGTGCGTGCGGAAGGACGGAGTGATCGCGTACAAGGATCGTATAAACTTAATATTTACGGCAGTGTCGAATGCACATGATTAGTGTAAGTCTAGGAATGTGTCTGAGTGTTTAGGATACGTGATACACCAAGGGCAAGGCTGTAAGGAGCACGTGAGAAACGCGCGATTGAGAAAGAGAGCATGAGTATGAAAGAAAACAGAGTGCAAGGGCGTCAAACGAACAGTTCTTTGAGAAATAGTCAGTGTAAAAGTCATAAGCCTAGAATAAGTTAGTTTACAATAAATCATATTTTTATCTATCACCATCATTTTCCTGCCACCTAACAATCCTACAATATGATAATAATATCTTTTAATGTTTTAAAATACTCACGTTCTCTTAATAATTCAGTTTCATGTTCATATCGTGCAAATTCCATTTGAGCTTCTAGTTTTTCTTCTTCCATTGCCATTTCTCTTTTCAGTGTCTCTTCCTTTTGTTTATATAATTCGTGGAGCTGTTTCCACCTTGTTCCATATTCATGTTCAAAGCTTCCTATTTGTGCAAATCTAGGTCCTATATCACGAGCTTTAAAGAATTCTGGATTTTTTCGAGGTAAATTCTTGTCAGGATAACCATCGACATCATCCTGTTGCTCAAATGGTTCAACAACCACTGGACGTAGAGAACTATAACATTTTATGTAAAAACTTTAAATACTTCTTTTACTTTAAAAAAATTATATTTTAAATAAAATTTTGTGTTCCATTCTTCGGCACACAATACAAATATTTATTGTATCATGCTTCCATTGGGAACTATCTTTCTTTTCCCCAATGTAATCAAAACTTAGGCACTTGCTAATAAATTAAATGCATCAACAAGCGTGGCGTTGGGATAAACAATTGTTCTATTATAAAAACTTACGCAGTTAGAAAATAGCATCCTTCAGTACATTTCCGTAGAGCTAGTTGAGCTGATGGTTTCCTGCAAAATTCTACAATTCCTTCTCCAGTAGATTTTCCTCGGTCATCCACTATAACTATTGCACGTTCAATTTCACCAAAAACACTAAATGCCCTTTCAAGCAATTCATTTGAAATCCAAGGTGTAAGGTTTTTAACTTTAATTGTAGAAGAATGAGGAGCAAAACGTACTTTAAGTGCACGTCCTTTGCGCATTGTGCCATCTAATTCATGTTTTGCTTTCTCAGCATTTACTCTATAATCCTATGGAATAATAACAATTAAAATGTAGTTCAATACTATACCTATATATATATATATATACACATTTAACAATTGTTGTCATAATTTAAAGATGCAGCCAAAAATTATTATCATTTTTTTGTCAAACGGTAATTATTTTAATCATTTTCCTTTGACAGAAAAAGATACAAATAAAATTTACTCAACTTACCATCCTAAGAAATGCAAAGTTTTTCTCTTTATTTACAAAAAGTTCAGATATTTCACCATACTGTTGAAACATCTGTTGAATTTCTTCTTCTGTAACATCATTTGTTAAGTTTCCAATATACAAACGATTACGACCACTAAATTTTTTTTCTGTGGTTTCTTGAGGTGGTAGATCATGTGTAGGTCCACTAATAGCCATGATACGCTCCATTAAACGATCCTAATTACAAAAATAAAAACAATGCAATGAAGTATTATAATTATAAATTAGAATGAATAAAAGCAATACTATATATTAATGCATATAGTGTTTTTATTTAAACTTACATCTTGCGAACGATTTCCCATGTTTCTATCGCCGCCTCCACGACCACCTCTACCACCCCGCATTCCACCACCGCGCCCCATACCCATTCCACCTCCCATGCCTCCACCCATTCCTTCATTCATGGTATTATCCATACCTCCATCCATAGAATCACTCATTTTCATCTGCAACATTAAAATAATTCTTGAAATCCAGATTACTGTAAAATAAAAAACTTCTGTTTAATTTGTCGATGAACAAATCCTTCAATTTCGATAATTTTTTAATATGTTGTAACAATGGAGATTTGAAACAATTATTTCCTTTGCTTATAAAACGTGGCTGGTTTACCTTGGTTCTCGAGATATTTACAGAAGATTTTCAACATTATATAGAATAACCTCTTTGCTAATGAACTTAAAAGCAGTAACCGCGATCTAAATATTGTAATAGAAAACCTTAGTATTTGAAATTTTACATTTCACACATATGCGCGCATAAACGTGGTTGGTATACACTTATTAGATTATCGCGTAAGAACCCTGGCTGTGATGTTTTAGGCAATGATATGCTGCTTTTGCGACCACTATCAAGTGAATTACTCTATACAATTGTACTCTACCTACCTATGCATCCATGCTTGTGGCAGTATGTGCATCATCACTGTAAGCTCGACATTTATCTATTGTTTCTATCTATTCAAAACATTGTACTTTGTGATTGTAATTTGGTTAGATTTTGGAAGAAATAATTAGAATAATATTAATATATTGGTTTCTTACCAAATTATATTTTGTAAAATTATAGAAACTAAAAATAGTCACTAAGACTCTAATTCTAATGACTTAATTTCAGTGATTTAAATAATAGGATGACATATTCAATATAATCCTTTTAGTAGCTGTGATATTGCAATGTTCTCAAATATAACATTAACTTTCTGGAAAAATTGACAACTTTTAATTATCAATGGAATTTCATCTAGACCATCACCTATATATATTGATGTACAAAATTTTTGAATGAACTATCATAGGATAACTGCATTTGTTAAATCTATAAACTGCTTGACTGTACCAATGAGCTCTTTCTTGAGTTATCAAGTTATCAGAAACCATTATTGACTTTATGTAAAAATTGATAACGTTATCAGAAATTAACTTTCTGTCAATTGAATTGCTATCTGATCCTGGTCTATATAAGGTAAAACAATTGAAAAAATACTTTGAAAAATAAAATTTAAAGTTCTTTACATATCAAAGAACCCTTAAAAAAAAGTCATTCAAGTCCATAAGATATCTTTTTAATGAATTCACATATGCTAAACTATTAGTTATTATGAAGTCTTTTTGAGAAATAATAGATAAATAGCAAACCAATAACAAAGTACAGTTATATAATGTTGAAAATTTCTTGTGGATATTTCAAAGATTAAGATGGGCCACTTCTTATATGCAAAAAAAGAATTAAAAATATAAATTTCTATAACATATTCAAAAATAATTGAAATAGGATAATGAGTGATTCATCGACTGACTCAAATATTTTTTTAGCATTTAACTCGTACTGCTTAATTTTTCTATAAACATGTGCAAAATATTAGATTATTTAAAATCATTTAATATAACAAAATATTTAAAATCACAATATTTAGTGACTGAACATGTTAAATTGCATTTATTACATATAACTCTGAAATTAACGAATTGTTTATCACTTACTTTCATTTAAATTCAGGTACTTTTGGAAGTTTAAACTAAAATATAATGCGGTAAAAGATTTAATTAAAAAACACGATCAAAATAACATATGCCCGATTAAGATTATCTAATAATGAATAAAATATACTACATCCAATCATACTTTAATTAATATTTTGAACGAAATTGAACATTATTGAAAGTTTTATTAAGAATTTTATTTGTATTAATATCACCTTTTGAAATATTTATTCTCTCTACAAAAATTTCAAAATTATATTATTTTAGTTCTAATAAATTTTCGTTCAAATATTAGAAATTTTCTTAACACGTGGTATGAAAGTTAAGACTACTTATCCGCCATCTCAATTTTCGCACTCGCCATTTTGTAACTACCTAGTACAAAAATCGATGTATTCATTATTTTTAATACGTAGAAATTCTGGTAAAAAAAAAGTAGTACCTGTTAATAATAATTTTTATTCCCTCATAATAACAAAATTAAAAATACATAATAATATATTTCATAACAGGTTGTCATATGTAAAAATTGTAGTTCAAATCATCACTTTCTATTTTCCAACAGTCGTAATTCATATCATAATTTGAGAATTATTAGCATAATTATTTAAATACTTATAGGATGTTTTTAAATTTTATTCAAATTATATTTGAATACATTCAAGTAAACTTTTCTATTTTTCCTTTTTTTTATATACATATAAGTATATGGTTTATTTCAACATGAAAAATACTGACTTCATTTTACTCAAAATATTAAAGAAATTGGTAAATATATAGGAAATAGAAATTATAATCATAATTTACAATGTTTAATGAATTAAAATGCCAAAGTTTGAAATCGGCCAAAGTATTACGCATCAGTTTGTAGCAAATATGGCGGTAGGAACAAAGAAACGTTTTGAAATTTACATGGGAAAAATATATGAAATTCTTACCGGTCCATCATTATTTCTATTTCCACCACCCATTCCGCCTCCACGTCCGCCAGAAAAACGTGTTCCTCCTTTTCGACCACGCGGACCACGATTACCACCGCCACCGCCGCCACCAGGTGGATTTCGTTCTCGTGGGTTTTCATTACTATTTTCTGCAGACGCATTTTGCGATTCTTGTTTTACATTTGGTGATTCGGCTCCTGCCATCGTTCGCTCAAATTAAATTTACACTCGTTTCAAGTATCAATTTACCAAGAACAAAGTTCTTCACTAATGAGTTGAACCCACACTCGAGTCTCTTGGGAAACGAGGCGTTCACTATGGCGTCCGACAACGAAGAGAACGAAATGGTGAAGATCACGATGTACTACAGGGACTACCCCCACTATGCATCATCATTTCCGGTGTATTATATGTGCATCTTTCTTAAAGGATGATTGGTTAGTTTGATTAAGAATGAATACATTTGATTGGTTAATTCAAACAAATACAACGTTGCCATTTAACGTTGTAAGATTAACCGGAAGTGACATTTTAAGTATAACATAAATAATATTTAATTTTCTATAACAGTTATTTTTATTTATGATATATTATTAATACTAACTTTTTTTTACATATATTATTAATATACTTCAATTTAGTGTTATTATTAATATTAATTTTAAGTATATTTTGTACTCCAAGTGACTAGTGTCTTATAATATTAAATGTGATCATACATTTTAAGTATTATAATTTATGTACTATATTTCTTATATTTATTAAGAATAGTAAATTATTTCAAAGTATTTAAATATTTTTTAATGATTTAAATACAGTGAAAAAAAATTATATGTACAATTATTTTTGTTATCATAAAAAAATTGTTTAGAATCTAGTTATAAATCGATAATTAAACTTTATAATATCTTAGGAATAATTTGAGATATGTTTTACAGCCATAGACAAACAATCTTAATGTCGATATATACTACAGATGGCACTTCAGTCGCATATAATTTGACTATCTAGAACATTTATTTAAGGCGCAGATGTCAGATCGATAAACGAAAGTCTTCACATTTCGAAATATCGAATTGTCGTGAACAATTGCAATATATTGCATCTGTGAATAATCACAAATTTTTGCAAAAGAATATTGATTTTCAAATAAATCCTGCTAGATGTGTGGTTATTTTTTGAACTTTTGAGGCATACTACGTTTTAAATCGTATGTAATTTTTGTTTGTTAATATACAAATCTCGTCGGAACTTTTACTAACAAATTTCTTTTTTATAACGTAGAAAAATGATGTTAGCCAGAGTATGTCGAAGTAACATTTCACCAAATTTAGTTAGCCTACTGAAGACTCCAGTTAGGTCAAAACCATTTATTCCGAAGATTCAATCTACAAGGTTATTCGCTAACGATGGACGAAGCACATTTACAAGATCGGCTCGTAGAACAACAATTTCGGAGCAAGCGATGGCTCCTTCAAGAGGAGGTGGTAAGATTTCAATAAATAAGTATAATTTGAAGCAAAAATAGTAATAATAAACATACACGTAATATGATGCAATCACAACCATAGATAGAAATTACAAGGTATTTCTAATAAATTGTTTATTTATTTTTCTAAAGTATTAGAAATAACAGTAAAATTCACTCTTTAATTACTTTAAAAATTTGAAACTTATGGTATGACATATATTATTTAAGTTGAATTCTCGTAAATAATAATTGTGATATCTTCAAAAAATTAAATATTTTTTCAGGTATTATTTTATATGTTCAATCTTTTAAAATAATATATGTGAACACTAAATAATATTAACTTTTCATATGTATATTGATAATAGTAAAAACATTTTTATATTGATAGCATTCACTATTGGAAAAGGATTTGTTGCTGGTGGTGCTGTAGTAGGATTAGGTTCTCTTTGTTATTATGGTTTGGGTTTGTCACCAACTTTGGGAGCTATAGATTATGCACAGTATGTTCTTTTATATTTTTTTCAAAGTATTTTCATAGCATATGATATATTATGTTATAATTCTTTATAGATTATGGCCTCAATATGTAAAGGACAGAATCAGAACTACATACATCTATCTTGGTGCATCTTTAGCAAGCAGTGCTGCAGCTGCAGCAATATGTTTACGCTCTCCAACTATCATGAATTTGGTATTACGTCAAGGATGGGTTGCCATGTTGGCAACATTGGCATCTGTTTGTGGTAGTGGAATATTGCTACAAAATATTCCATATAAAGAAGGTTTTGGTTTAAAACAAATAGCATGGTTGATCCATACTGGGACTGTTGGTGCAATTCTTGCACCCTTGTACTTTATTGGAGGACCTTTAATAGTTAGAGCTGCATGGTATACTGCTGGTGTAGTTGGTGGTCTATCACTAGTTGCTGTTTGTGCACCAAATGAAAAATTTTTAAACATGGGAGGTCCATTAGCAATTGGTTTGGGACTTGTGTTTGCAAGTAGCGTTGGATCGATGTTTTTACCACCTACCACAGTTCTTGGATCAGGATTGCATTCAGTATCTCTATATGGTGGTTTGGTACTATTTTCCATGTTTCTTTTATATGATACACAAAGGATTATTAAGCAGGCAGAAACATATCCAACAAATGCCAATCTTGTAAGGCCATATGATCCAATAAATAAGTAAGTAATTTAAAGAGTAGTAAAAAGATTTGAAACGTATATACACACGCAAACACTTATATTCGTACTTTCTATTTCAGCGCAATTTCTGTTTATATGGATGTAATTAATATTTTTGTAAGAATTCTTACATTAATAGCACAAGGAGGAAATAGAAAACAAAAGTAAAACAGAATATTTTTTAATAGAGTAATGAAATTATGTATTCCCGTTTTATTTGAAGAAAGCCGCAATTTGGTACTAAACTCAAAATTGTTTTGCAATAAATAAGTTTCACATATTTATATGTAACCTATTTAATGTAATATTTTAAGATGATCTGTAAATTATTAGCTAATTTAAAATAAAATATAAATCATACAAAATATATTTCTTTTTTGACCATGCATGGAAAACAAATTCATACTTCAAACATGACTGATAAAATTAAATGCAGTTTATTGTCGTTTCTCAAACATATTGTTTGAGAACAAAGTAAGATACAGCTACTAAGGTAATAGTAGATATTTTACAAATTTTAGCTAATTGCTTCATTTTAAATTGAGGTACAGTGAAAGGGTATGCCAATGTGGTGCAATTGATATTGTGCAAAGTGTTGAGGAATGATATTGCATGTGAAGTAAATTTAATGTCGTGCTATTCTCAATATGAATAAGTTTCAAGATTTTCTGCGATATATGCATTACTTATTTCCATTGGAGACTATGTGAAATATAAGAATTGTTTGCAACAGGTAGTAATAATTGTTATCACACTGCAAATAATTACATTGACTTACATGCATATTTGTATTTGTTTATACACAATTAGGAAGGTTTACCCTTTCATGCTAAAATTATTTTTTTCAAGAAAATAAACTTTTATTAATAAGAAACTCATCAGTAGGCAGTAGAAGTAGACAAATGCAAATACAAATAAATAATATAAAAACTATTATTCCTTGAAATATATCTTCATTAATTAATGATAAGATTTAAACTAAATATATTTTAATTAGTATATCTAAAAAGATTAAACGATACACAAAGAATTAATGACTTTTCATGAATATACGATTAAAGGAGCACCTTGAAGAAACTTCTTAAATTTCTTATTGCCTAGTTTATCACTGATACGTATTTTATCTGATATTTTGTTTCATTTACAGAAGTGTTTTGATTCACCTTTTAGATTTAAAAAACATATTTTAAACTTATTTTCTCGTGATTTGTCTTGAACGGTACAATATACTTTAAAATCGTCCATTCTGTATCTCATATATGATATTAATAAGTACAGGATCAAGCATTATGAGGTTATACGTTTACAGAATCTGATTTCATGGCTAATGACGTTGAAGAATGCCTTCTAAGGTAACCAGCAAATAATTGTCTAGCTTGATTGAGCACTCGAATAACATTATGTCGACGGACCATTTTATCGAAATGCATTGCCATTTCATTATAATCCATCTGATTACGTATAACAAAGTCTCTATGTTGTAATAACAAGGTAATGCACAGGAACATAAGAAATGGATTACCACCACCAAACTCATGAGGCGGTGGTAGAGAACTTTCTCCTAACTGATCTTCGCAAGTTCCCGCGGGAATGAGATTCGTAAGTTCTGTAGCTTCTTCACAGTGTTCTTGTATTGATTGTTTTATTGGACTTTCCTGTACCGTTGCATTTTGATGCCAACTTTCAGCTTCCTCACTATCTGAAGCAGATTCGGACCTAGGGGATTTTAAAACTTTCACTTCTAAGGGTGTACTTCAAAATATATAATTCTTTAGAGATTATAAAATGTTGATTTATACCTTGCAGTGCGTTTAAGTAACCTAATTGGAGTAACAGATTTGACACCATTTTGGTCTTCTAATATTTCACCATCGTATTCAAGTTCCGCTTGTTCATCCGGAGTAGCTGGATGAGTTTTCTGTTGCAATGTATGCAACGGATTTTCCCAAACAAACACATCCGCAGCTGGACTACACCTGGCTAATTCTGTGTCTGTTTCACTATCAACTAATTCGCTCTCTCTTTTAGAAAGGACACAATCACATTGTTGATCACTTGGCGGTGATGGTCCGAAGACTTGTCGATCGAGTGATTCTAATTCCAGTCTTAATTCTCTAGTCATTGAAGTAGTCATTGGAAAGAAATCTGTTGGATCATCTGGAGAACTTGGTTCATCTCTTAAAACTCTAATTACTCCGCTTTCGCTTGAAACACGCCTACAAGATAATATAGTTTTTGATTATAAAATTATTGTTATTTTTTATTTAAGAAGAAAACGAAAAGTGTAACATTTTTTAATTATTAGTTGAAAATATATTATTTCACCTCAATTCTGGTTCAGCATCGCTTGGTGTTACTTTGCTACGATTAAGGCTGGTAAAGTTCAAAAATTCATTCAGATTTTTTACTACTCGAGCACATTTTTTTTCGCCATCATTTTGTTCATTATTTTTAATTTGATCTTTATTAGGTAACGATAGTCTTTCTTTCAATTCCAGTAAATTCACGCGCTTAGATTTGCCAGATAAAGAATCTGTACTTAGGCACTTTTCCGTAGATTCTGTGTTTCTTCGATTTTTTGCTGTCGTCAAATCATTTTCTGGTTCAGAAAACGTCTCGTAAGGAGGGCTCGATCTGCAGACAGCGAGTTTCACTTTATTTTACTATTTCTATTTGACTGCTTTCATCGATTTACGTAGAAGTACCTTTTTGAGTCACCATTAGTTTCTGTAGAGCTTTGTAAAGATGGATCCTCCGTGTTCAGAGCTTTTCTTTTACCAGCAGTAGCGATACTCACGGAAGAACTTTGTCGTCTTATAGCACAAACTTTTGTGTATGCATTTTCTCGAATATGTTTCACATTTGGACTTGGCGGTGGTGAAGGCGGAGGGAAAGGTACTTCAGCTAAACTAAGTTCTCCGTTCGGCGGTGACGCTGGCAAAGCAGCCCATAAAACTTCGAGCATCCTTAAGGCGTCATCCAAAGCAAATTCACGTTTCATTTCCAATAAAAGCCATCGATAGCAAAACAATAAGTCATCCGCTTGATGAGATTTTAGGTAAGCATAGAAGTCCGGATCGTAATGTTGCAAACCTTAAAAATGTTGACACTTTATAATGATTAATAGAAATACTACAATATTCAAGTTAATTTCCTATTTGCAAAAATTATACAAATCAATTAAAAGATTGTTGTTTTCTATCTTTAAGAATAAGTAATCGATTAACTTTCTTTCACTATTTATTTTATTATAATACTTTTCATATCTTTTAGTTTTTAACAATTATTCATGCTATATTTTATACTTATTGATACTTTAAATTTTAATTATTGCAGTAGCTACTTAATATTATATAATCGCTTTTTCGTATCAGAAAAAATCACAATCTTCTAATTATTTAAGATACATATTAAATCTCACATACCTTCAGCTAAATGGGCAAATTTTGTAGTCATTGCAATTCCATCGAGCATGAAGTTATCTTTCAACCTTCTCATAAGAGCACACAAACATATATATGCTTGGGCCTCATCCCTCATAGTAACTAATAGAGGTGAAGCCAGATCACTCATACCTTGACAATAGCTAACGCTTGGATGATTTAAGGCATATGTAGTTAAAATATTAAAAAGACTGGCTGTGTTTTGATTATCATCAGAACCGCCATAAAACTTATGATGTCTATCTGTTCTTAAAACGTCTTTCCGTACCATACTCGTTACATATGCCAAATCTCCGACATTTTGTCCCTTTTGTACTAAGGTTTTCCATTTTTCTCGGAGATTTTGATACTCTTGCGCTTTTTTCTTCATATAATCCATTCTTTCACGACCGGACATGCCTTCAGGATATACATTTAGAATGTGTTTCCAAACCACCTTTCGTAAACTAGGTTCAATTCCTCCGAAGTATATAACAGCTCTTAATTCTTTAGGGTGTATCACTTGTCCAATAGGATCCAGAAATCGTCGAAACTCCGCATCTGTCAGTGGTGACCGTGGAGGTTGAGCACCTTGTTGGTGTGAAGATTCTTCGCCCAAGTTACCCAAAGCACGTTGAACCATGTTCAACGTTCTTTCCATCTGTAAAAAAATAGTTCGATTTACAACATAAATCTGATTTTAGGTAAATAATTTTTTCAAATGTTATGAATTAAGATTTTTGTAGAATACTTTTTGTGGAATATGTGAAGTATAACAACTGTTTCTGATACACTGCATAAACTAACAGTAAATAGAAAATTATAAATAAATAACATATAAATGATATAATGTAAATAAATGATAAAAAGTTAATAGTACAAAAATTCTGTATGTTACAAATTGCTATAAACAATAGAAAATTTAAATTTAGTTATAACTGGATAATTAATTTTAATAGCTTAAAATAAATAAAAAATTTCAAATATATTTAAAAAATATATACATTTACTATACTTAATACCAATACATTCAATATATCTAAAAAAAGTGAAAAGAATAAGAAAAACCAAATATATCGTGTTTTGTTAAGAAATAGAACTGTAGTAAATAAAACTTTGTTGTTTATAAATCTAATATACTACAAGTCTTCAATTTGCGAGAGATAGAATAAAGGATTTATTTTCAATTTTCTTGCTTAACAAAAAGCTAGGTATAAATTCCGATTGTTCTTTTATAACTATCATTGTTTCATTTTAGTTCCTGATTACAGAATATTATTTTTTAATTTTCAATCAGTTAAGAACATTGACGGACATGATTAATAGATTAATTTTAATATGCTTAATTAATTATCATTCGGTGCATTCCACAGGTAATAATTGCCTTCGGTGACGGCGAGAGATTTTCATTAGGATTACTCTCGATTAGGATACTTTGGCCATAATCCTGTTACGATTTATAAAATTCCTTTCAGAATTCTCGCTTTTTAACGCGTTTTAAACTGTCGAAGAACTGGTAAAATGAGCTATTTTTTTATTGATTTTAAAAGAGTGAATTCATTTCGTTTGTCTAGATATATATAATACATATATTCCAATAATAAATTCGATCATTCGAATGACTTCGAGTATCCTGTAAACATTTCAAATATATATACAATTTCTTTATGCTGTTAAAAAAGAGTCGAAAGAAATAATTGCATTTTAAATAGTAGGTAAGTGAGTAAAGTAGCGATATTCACCTTATTCATTATAAGACCTGGTAACTTGGGCGTCTTATATGGAAACCCAGTTTCTTGTCGCGTCGACACTTCCTGTGCATTCTGTTCCCAGTAACATTCGCAGTCACCTGTCTCTCCGAATGGCTTTAGGTTAACTTGAAGGTATAGATATGGTTCCGAGGCGCTAAAATAAAATATGTTATCGATTGAGAAGTTTTATCGTTTATCATCTAGATATGTAGAGTGCTATCTAAAAAAAATTTACCTAATAAATGCTGCATCCAAGTCCCAGTCGGAAAGCAGGAATAAATATGTCTCTGATCCATAATCATCTATTGCTCGATAAGAAACTGTGAATTCTCTGCAAATATTTAAACAATTTTTATTTTTCTCGTAAATTAATATTTCACAATTTTTGTTCACTTGTATCAAATAACTTTCTGGAATCGATATCTCTAACACTTCTAACAGCGAATTTAAAGTATTTTAATAATGGAATACAACGAAGAGGATGATAATTAACTGAAAGAATATCATAGTTTTGGCCATTTAATCCTGTGTACTCCTTATAAATGTAATTAGCTTGTACAAAAATATACAGTAATCTTAACATATGTGTACATAAAAAGTATTTTATTTATTTCTTAATTTACATATTTGTGAATTCTATGTTTCCAGTTAATATATACAGTAATTTATAACGTTTTATAGTTTGTAAGTGCATAATTTTTGAGTCGTTAAAGTTTTCACTTGGCCAATCAAATTTGTTTTTATAATTTTAAAGAGTTTTCGTTTCAACCAGATCCCTAGAAAGAAGTTAATTGAATAGTTGACTAATGGAAGTGAAAAAATTGATTTCAATACTATCAGAATTAAATCAGAATTTTTTACGATCTATCGTTGGTCTTAATTACTTTATATATCCTATATAATTAAATACAATTTCTCTTCTCGAAAGTAACAGGAATTGAATTTTTGTAAAAGTAATGCAAACGCTATATTTCTCGATCCATATCGCTTTTCATCATAATTCTTTGATAATTAAACACTGACTCCTTTCTCTTTATAACACCGATTAAACGCAGTTTAAATAATCGCGAGGGGGAATAAACACGAGTACTATACATTCCTCGACGTTTAATATTTATCTCGAGATAACATTCGATATCGAGTAACAAGGGTTCGAAATACTTTCAATATTCAGAGATGTTTTCTAAAATCGTGTATATTTTATTCATAAGACTTTATATCCACCTCGTAAAGTTTCAACGAAATCTATTTCGTAGTATCTATTTTGGAAACCAGACTGGAAAGGAATTTTACTTCATACATAATTTTTAGCGTTTAGGGTCGGCAGCAAGGAATTAGTGGAAATTTTTACTTCATTTTAACGAAATACGTGCTCGATTTCGTAGATAATAGCTAATCGTCACGTGTCTAAAGAAAATGGACGTTAGCCAAAAGTTGCTTTTGTTTACGATGCACTCCATGTAATACACTCGATGATTATTCGGTGTTAACCGTAATACAATCTCACCCTTTGATATCGAACGCTTTGATGAGTATACTTTGAAGCACCTCGATGGATGTTATCTGCGGATCCACACTGAACTTCCGATATTCTGGTTGATGTCTGGTCTCGCATTTCTAAACACAAATGCATGGAATATTTCAACTTTTCACGTATCTATCTTTCTTACGAAACGAGTATTCCGTTTTATTTTTCCAATCTTATTATTTACAATAGCAAGAAGAAAAATTATGTTATGATATAATTCAAAAAATACGAATAAAAGCTTCGATCTTAAAGGTTCAAATGAATTCTAAAATAAAACTTATCTGTCTGTAGTATTTATGATCATTAATGATTTATTATAATTTAGTAAAAATGTTTCACAGTGTATTAAAACGAAGTAATTTTGGTTAATTTGATTTTAAAATTTTCCGTATTCTTCCATTAACAGGTAGATATGTTTTTAGAAAGGTACTGTTTCTCATTATTGCACGAATCATTTGCAACTAGTTATCTTTTTTAGGAATTGTAAAACCTAGCTTATCGACGAATAAAACATTAGCATTCAACGAAAATGTAGCAAACAGAATTGTTACTGTTTCTGCCAGAATTGTTTACATTTATGTTAAAGGGAGAGAATTGGGGATAGAAGAGGATATTCTATACACTTGTCTAACAAAAGGTGACAAAACTATAAAAATGGGAGATATTTGTATTATTGTGACCTTGTGGTTTGGATGCTTCAAATAGATGATATTTTGGTCTTAGTCTAAACTACGATTGAAGTCCCAGAAATCTTAAAAATCCTCGAAATAAATATATTTACCATGAAGTCGGAAGTTAATTGTACAGAGAACAAAATAAGTTATTAGATTTAGCTAGATAGCTTTTGAAATATATCATGTACCTTAAGCCTACGTAGTTTAAATACCGCACCACAATACGTGGCACATGATAACGAATTGTGATACAACAAAAGTTAATGCAATGTTATTATGCGATCGTATAAAGCAAAGTGGGTTAAAAATTACGTAGCCTAAACGATCTACAGATGCACGAAGATAATTTTATACAGATTAACGGAGGCCTCGATAATTTTGTAGCTGACTCAGGAGTCCTGGAAATAAATTAGATAATCCCAGCTATACGATACGTTTAAGTCAATGTGTATCGTAATATCCAGAAAATCAATGCGACTCCATTGCAATCACAAAGTGCAAATCAGGAATGAGATGATCCAGATAATTTATAAATGGAACTAGTAAAGACTTTGTTAGTCTTCCAAGAGATAAATCTTTATGAGACGTGTATGATATCAACTTTAGATATGAAAGGCAAAGTGGAAGTCACGAAATTTTGAAAAACGAGAAAGAAGTCCGCGATAATTTCTGTATTATAAAATTGACATGTAAAATTTTATAATATATAATTTGCACAAACCGTATTCGTTAACATAAAATATCTGATCAGTAGTAAAAAAAAAGTCAAAGGCTTGTTACTTTGGTGGCACTGATTATTTCAGTTTTCCTTTTAATTTGACCCGAAAATTCTGAAAATGAATAAGGTGCTCCTTGAAAGACCGTATCTTCTCCTTTACCGTTTAGCATGTTTTTCCATAGAGGAGGGAGTAATAAAGCTGTCTTTGTTTTCTGCGATACAATTGTTATCTTAATGGAATTCTGTGGTATGAGGATTTATTTCTGAAGAAAATCTACTATCTTGGAAAATGTTAATCGATACTTTGAAATGCCATGGGAACTCGTGACTTGATCTATACTTCATTACCCTAACTGTGAGTAAACCAGAGATGTATATAATACACATTCTCCAGTTTAAATAATCCTCAGAGAAACCTTGAATGCAGTAAAACATTGATGATCCGAATTATAGAGTGACAAATCCGTTCCTATAATCGGCTTTTCCGATAATCTATTCAGGAGGACCAAAGTTGCAAATATATTATAAAATGACTAGAAATAAATAGAAATTTTGAAAAATGGATGTTTATTATGTATAACAGTATACGATAAACAAGTTAATCACATTTAGATATAATTAAGTCTCGTATTCCTTTTCATTTCTTATGTTTTTACAGATTAGTAAAGATATCCAAAGAGACAGAGGATGGCTCCTTCTCGATTTTTCATTAATGGAATGATGTATCAGTTACTACGTTCAAGAACAGTTGTGATACGAATGTGCGATATTTGATAAAATAATTTTTTTTTTTAAGTAAAAAAGGCAGTTTATGCTCAATAGTCCTTTTTTTCATTATTTTATATGTAATCTTATGTTTTTATGAATTTTGATATTAAGCATAATAACTAAAATTGGTAATTATAATTAGTATGCAATAACTTCTGATTAAATCACCATTTAATAACTTAAATACTAACTCAACTATATAGGAATTAAATAAATAATAAAAGTACCATAAAGTGCAATCTGCTGTTTAATTACACCGCAAATAATAATAGCATAACCAAATATTATGGTGTTTCTATATTTCTCCTCTCTTAAAAAAAAATGCGCGCATATCTTTACACAAACGTGTATAAAGAATAAACCTTTATTAAAATTTTAAATACTTAATAAAAGGAGAATAAGTAAATAAAAAGAAAGGAAAAAGATTATAATTTGTTTCATATGGTATAAGTTTTATAGATGTTCTAAATGTTTATTTTATAGCTAGTAAGAAATAAAAGTAAAAAATCAAATGCAAGTCAATTTTGATTATGTCACAAAACAAGATCAATCTGAATCTAGTCAAACAAATAAACAGAATATATACTTGATCCAACCAAACACATGGCTTTGCTTACGTTGATATCGGATTAGCTTGTTACGAAATTGCAATCTATCAAATTAATATCTATATAGAATTTGTTGAATAGGAATTTAATTGTTATATAATTTAATTATTATTATGAAAATATTTTGTGCAATAATAAAATAAAATATGAAGTTCTTATTTTAAAGTATATAAGAACTTAAAAAAAGAGATATTAACAATAGTTACTAAAAATAAAAATATCTTTTGTACAGACAAAAAAGATTATTTTCACTGATTTATCGATGAACATTACTCTTGTGATGTATTTAGGTTACTCAATATTCAGTACTATATTAACCAGTATGATTCATAGACATAGTTTTGTCAGGCTTTAGTGTTTTAATCTTTGATGTATATGGACTATTTCTTTCTAAGATGATAAACGTTTTTTCTCAGACGTCCTTTCGATTTAGGTACTGATTCTTTCATGATTACGTTGAGTATATCTATATTAACGAATGTTAACAACATCTTGGGACGATATGAATAAAAATGTGACTTGCAAATGATTAATATCGATGAAATATTGTACAGCAATCTTAATTTAAATCTACGGAATAAATTTGTATTGATTCCTAGAGATTACTTGTAGCAATATCTAGTTGTTTTTATTAGGTCTAGCATATATATTTTAGTACACAAATAAATACTATTTCTAACTAAATAACTATTAAAATGTACATTATAAAAAGTAAAAAATAAATAAATAAAAAGAGCTAGTAAGTACACTACTTTTTATGAAAAGGAAAAAGTGAAAGTTCTCTTATGCATCAAACAGTATTACCATTTTGTTACATCAAAATTCCTAGGGCGTGAAAAATGATTTTATTTTACTTTTGACGCTTTTATTTCCGAAATTTATAATCTAATAGTTATTTAAACATTATTATAGTGATAATTATAATTATTTATATTTATCATTAAATTCACAAATTCAATTTATAACATTTTTCTAATTATACAAATTGCAATAACCATTATTGCAATAGCCATATTTTATGAAACTGAAATGGGATAGCGAATAAATTATATTTTAGTTCCTATTAAAGAATTTGATTTCACAAACGAAATAAAAGTTGACAATCTCGAGTGTTCCTTTTGAAGGGAATTACGTTTCAGTGTTATTTTCATGGTAATTCTAGCCTTGAGACATTTGACCGCTGAACACACGAACTTGAAAATTTTTTTAACCCCCTTTCGTGTACCTTAAGATTTTGTACACTAATTTAAGATTTACATTACGCATGGGTTTTGTATTGAAACAATCGTAAAACATATTAGTCTCATGAAATATTATGTTCATTGAACATTAACAATATAATTCATACTTTAAAATTTAAAGAAAGACCATAAAATAAAAAAATAAAATAGATGTCAGGTTAGTAACATTAAAAAATGTACTATATTCTATTGTTAACTTATAAAAAGAATTAGACATTAGAACACAAAATATGCAGTGTACAAAACAAGTGTGACTCGATTAACAAACAGATTGAGGTGGCTAAAATAATAAATATGAAATTAATTAATATTTTAATGAATTGTAACTAAAAGTAGAATTAGGTCTCAGTCGGCAGTTAAATTGCAACATTAGTTATATAAACGTTCTTCTAATTATAGTTATTTTGACTCTAATCAAAAGCATTGGTCTAGCATTTATCTTCCGATTTCGTCATAAATGTATTGAAATTTAACGCGTTCAACAAGAGAATATAAACACCTGTAGAGTAGATATTGTGGTTTTGAACATATTATAACAGAATTGCTTTGTTCTCGATATATCATAAAATAGAAGTTTAAAGTAGTTCTTTAATTTATTAACAATTTATAAATTGTTCATGAATAACAAGTATAATACATTATATTAAATACATGTTTGAATTTATTTTTTTTTCTTAAAAAATTTGTTAATAATTACAAATGAACGAGAAACTAAGTGAACGGAAATATTTTTTGAAAAATATAAAAGTGATTCATATACTTGTTCACATATTTGTAAGATCTGGTGTTTTATGTTTTTATGTAAATTTGAAATTTAAAAATAAATTTTTTGATAGAAATAATTTTGCACGAAAAGTAATGTAAGATCTGATTTCTCGTATGATGCTGGTAAAATATTAACCCTTCACAGCTCGATGAAGACGGTGGTCTGACATCTGTTTAACGTGTTCTGATGAATGTCAAACATGGACATTTGAACCGACTGTAAAGAAAACGTGTTACAGCTAATTCTAATTGGACGTCCTTGCCGCAATGCTGTAGGAATATTTCGTTGAGCGCGCGATGAAATAGTGATCTGTTCTAATTATTTTTACAGAAAGTTACTTGTTCCAGTTACGGAATGTAACGCATAGCCGCCCGCGTGACGTTCGCTTTCTTCATGGGAAACTACGTAGAAGATTTATCGTAGAAGTTTTCTACGGTTAATAATAGTTCATAATCACTAGAAATTACAGAAATGGAATTTACCTTCTTATCTAGAGGATTCACGATTTGATTTCAAGTGACATCAAGTTTATCATAGAGTGCGCTTTCAACGACATTGTATCGAAACTTCAAATTATATCTTATTTACGCTCTCTCCTGTCCACTAAAATGTGTCATTTAAAATATTTTCTAAACAATGTCACTTATGAATAAAAATGAAGATTAACAGATATTGAAAAATATTACTTTCAACCGGATGTACATTTTTTTCCAGCAAATTCGTCTGTTAAAAACATTACTGTATCAATAGCAAAGAGTAATTATTTGCTTTGACGATACGAGTATCCTTTCCTTTCTGTCTTTCCATATTTAAAAATGTTATTCATACGAGAAGTTTAAATGAATTTTCGCGTAAATTGCGAATAAATGTCCTCTGTTGCGAATAACCGTAAATATTAAATGAAAGGTACAACATTAAACTGTGAAATAAACTGTACCTTCACTTTGACGCGAACGGCTTCTCGAGGGCAGCCGAACATGTTTAGTGTTGATATGCAGATTATTTCATGCACACAAAAAAAGGACGTTCAATAATTCAAGACAGTTCCAGATCCACTAAAATGCGCACCTCCTTGAGAACGTGACATCGAACGGGACTCGACATTTTTGTAGCTAGATACCGTATAATATCCCTAAGTTAATTCGATTCACGCGATGCACGGCGATCTAGCTTCAAGCTTTCACTTCTTCTCGAGTAAAGCATATTCGCCTTGCCAGGACATTGCACTACACTTCTCGAAGAAATCGAAGTTTTTGAGCACGCACTGGTTGACCACTTAGCATGAGGGTTCACAATGTTTTGTAGTGATTAGACAACCTATTCTACAGCTTGTTGGCGATAACACGTTGCAGAATATTAGTTTTCAAGACCAATTCGCGCCTTCCTCGAACTTTGACTACAAAGATTTGTCGTCACCGCGACATCATTGACACACCACACCGTGCTTCTGTATTTTGTGTTTGATCAGTCGAAATTGTAGGTTCCTTTTTTTCGTGAAAATCACTGATATTGGGAGGGGCAGGGGACAATTATTTCGAAACGTGACAAACGGGACAAAGACGGACAGAAATATCGAAGAAAATTTCCGTTACGTTCACGTAAGCAAAGAAAGAGCGAGAATGAGACAAGCTGGTGAGCTGAAGTGAGCCGCAGTTGACGCCAGTTAACTTGCTCACCGCAAGTATCGATTAATCTCGAACATTGTGAGCGTTGCTGATTCCAGCATGGATAGTCGATCTTCGGTTGTTCGATGTATTGCTATCGAATACTCGTTAAATCATTTCTCTAAATGATACCTGTTAAATATACGTTTATATAATGTGGTTCATGTATATACTAAACAAATATTTCCTGAGAGTCAAAATTATTGAACTTTAGAAACTGTACACAGTCATAATTAATTATTTACAGCGTATAGTTAATCGATGCGACTTTTTTCTGACATAAAGTATGATTTCGAGAAAAAGCTGAATTATATAATTTGCAAATGATGCCATTGCAGTTTAACACTAGAACTATTGATCTGTAATGAGTATCTAAATATAATATATATTATTGATGATTATTAAAGTAATACAATGAAAATAAAAGAACATACATAATTACGATGACATCTGAATAAAAATCAATATTAACTTTTCCAAAAGCAACTGTATATACTCAGCAATTGCAATAATAAAAGATCTAAAACGAGTTATTTTGACTCCTTTGGAAATTCTAGTGTTAAATACATATCGAATTGACAACAAAAACCAATGGAGATTAAGATAACTTATATAAAAATGTTAAAAAAGATATATAAATAAGTTATAATGTATATCCTTACATTAAAATATAATTTAATGTTTAAATAAATTTCAGCAATTATATTCACTAAACTATTAAACAGCTGTTATAATAACTTATTCTATTTAGAAAAACGTAATATAGATAATACAAACAAATTTGTATTTTATATAGAACAATTTATCGATATATTCAATGCTTGTAACGTGTTGCCATCTAGCAGAAATAAAATAAATTGCTTTTGGGAGCAATAGAGACACCTTACCATTTTACTGTCATTTCCAACGTTACCGATTAGGGTAGAATAAAATTACATGTTCACAGGCTGGAATTGAAACTAAATTATGAAATGATATTATAATTATGATAAAAAATAGAAAACGTTTGATATTTAGAAAAGAATTAGTCATATATTTCAATTATTGTACCTTATAATTAATTAGAATCCATACTACGTATCTACGTGTTCCCATTTCTTTAATTTCAGAATTTTGTGCTGACAATAAAGCGATTATAAAAACAGTTACAACTTGAAATTGTTTCCTTACAGATAAAATTATTTTAAGAAATTTTAAAGAAAAACTTCAATTTGAGATATATTTATTTAGGATTTTCATTTAATTTTCATACAATGATACTTTAAATATCTTTGTTAATTTTGAACTCACTATTCAATTTAAGATTTGTCCGGAATTAGACAAAGTATGGTTGTTATTAAATTCTATTAGATATTAACATAAATAAATAAATAAAATAAACGATTAAAATTAAAACATAAATAAATAAATTAAATAAATAATTGGAAGTAAATAATAAATAAAGGAATTATATAAATAACTAAAAGTAAAAAATAAATCAATAAATTAAATAAATTATTAAAAGTTAAACATAAATAAACAATTAAATAAAATATTAAATGTTAATATAATTAAATAAATAAAATAAACGATAAAAAGTTTTTATTAAAAATTTAATTAATTTATAACCTTTCAGTAGTGGAAACATTTGAATTTCGTTTGATATTCTATATCGATACTTTAACTTATGGCTATATCTAACACAAAACATCTTCCCGCGAAAACGAGGCATAGATTGTCCAATGGCAGAACACTTCTAGTCGATGCGAATCCAATATGCCGATGACACATGGTGGAATATTTACGCGCGTTAAAGTGAAACTTTCAGTGTATGAACAAAACGTTTGGTAAAGTAGTATTATCATTGACCAGTGTTTTAATTACTGTAACTGGAGAAATAAATATTCAATAACAATAATACGCAATATCAGTTATTATTTCGGAACATGGAACAACTTTTGCAACAACCTCGTGATATTTACGAAAGGACAACAACAGAAGTTTAAGGAATTGATAGAATTATAACAAGATCAAGATAGTTGACTCTGAACATATGTTTGTTGGTAATATACTACATGTGGAAAAAAGTGACAGTGCAAATGGTCTAACAAAACGAACTAACGAAATAAACTGTTGTGCGTGCGAATCATATGATACAACAAAACAGTAAAGTATCATATATTGTAGATTGCAGAATTCGATCGTCCACTGGAACATTCATTAGCATTGAACACAACAGGCAGTTTCTTAATACTTTTACCAATCTTTCTACGATTTCGACGATGCATATGTGAAATAAAGTGCTGCAGTGTAAGTGTGCCCAAATCGTGTTGGATTGTTAAGTGTTATCGTTTGGATATTCGAAACTTAATGATGCAAGTGAGTGCGGGTAAAATCCTGTTACCTCATTACGTTTCTTCGCTTAGATATATGCAATTCCTGCTCCGGATTAGAATATTTCGTTATCACTCGTTAATTTGTTGGTTGCTTTTTTTTCGATTTTTCGTCTTACTGCGACGTTATCTCTCGTGACTTAGTTCTTTGGAAATACAATTTTTGATTAGGATTTTTTCATATCACTCGATAGCTCCGCTCGTGCTCTAATAGAATCAGTGTCTTTTTTTCGATTTTCGCCGTTTTTTCGCGAAATACAGTGCTGGAAGTGAAAGGGAGTGGCCCGTCGTACTGTGTCGTTATCTTTCGTGGCTTAGCTCTTTGGACATTCTCATTTTGATTTTGATTTTTTCATATCACGCGATAGATCCGTCCGTGCTCTAATAGAATCAGTGTCTTTTTTTCGATTTTCTCGATTTTTTTCCAAGTACAGTGCCAAAGGTCGGTGTGTATGACAGGTCGTACTGCGCTGTTATCTTTCGTGGCTTAGCTCTTTGGACATTCTCATTTTGATTTGGATTTTTTCATATCACAGGATAGATCCGTCCGTGCTCTAATAGAATCAGTTGTTCTTTTTTGATTTTCGCGATTTTTTTTCGTGATACAGTGCCGGAAGTGAGAGTGTGTGACAGGTCGTACGGTGTCGTTACCTTTCGTGGCTTAGCTCTTTGAAAATACAATTTTTGATTAGAACTTTTTCATATCACTCGATAGCTCCGTTCGTGCTCTAATAGAATCAGTGGTTTTTTTTCGATTTTCGCCGTTTTTTCGCGAAATACAGTGCCGGAAGTCAAAGGGTGTGGCCCGTCGTACTGCGTCGTTATCTTTCGTGGCTTAGCTCTTTGGAAATACAATTTTTGATTTGGATTTTTTCATATCAGGCGATAGATCCGTCCGTGCTCTAATAGAATCAGTGTCTTTTTTTCGATTTTCGCGATTTTTTTTCCAAGTACAGTGCCAGAGGTCGGTGTGTATGACAGGTCGTACTGCGCTGTTATCTTTCGTGGCTTAGCTCTTTGGACATTCTCATTTTGATTTGGATTTTTTCATATCACAGGATAGATCCATCCGTGCTGTAATAGAATCAGTTGTTCTTTTTTGATTTTCGCGATTTTTTTTCGTGATACAGTGCCGGAAGTGAGAGTGTGTGACAGGTCGTACGGTGTCGTTATCTTTCGTGGCTTAGCTCTTTGGAAATACAATTTTTGATTAGGATTTTTTCACATCACTCTATAGATCCGTCCGTGCTCTAATAGAATCAGTGGTCTTTTTTCGATTTTCGCGATTTTTTTTCCAAGTACAGTGCCGAAGGTCGGTGCGTGTGACAGGTCGTACTGCGCTGTTATCTTTCGTGGCTTAGCTCTTTGGACATTCTCATTTTGATTTGGATTTTTTCATATCACAGGATAGATCCGTCCGTGCTCTAATAGAATCAGTTGTTTTTTTTCGATTTTCACGAAATTAAAATTAATTTAATTGATGTCTTCTTATAACAACAAGTTATCGAAAATACGGTGAGATTGAAAGGTATGTTGTATTCCTGATCTGAATAAAAATTGCTATTAATGGCCAAAGTCACTGATCATTGCTAATGAGTTAAATTTCAGAATGATGGAGCTAAGGTATATAAAGAAAAGAGAGGAGTTCAAATGAAAGCGGTGGAAGGAGGAAATGAATATTATGTGGAATTAAGAAACAGAAAAAAGGCAGTATACATATCAACAGAGAAATATTTGTGGCATCAATATGTAAATATGCGGGTCATTGAAGAGAATAAGCAATTGGTCATAGTTATGAAAGGTAAAGATAAATTGAATATAGAGTATGTATGTTGCTTTAAGGCAAATATTTATATAGACACGCATAGGAAGTTGGGAGCTATAAAAACATTAAGAATAATGAGGCTGTGGCATATAGAGAAAGTGAACATAATATTTTAACC